AAGATCCCCAAAGTTGGAGACGTATTGCAAAAGGTAGCTGCTAGCTACCTTGCAAGACTTGAAGGCCACCCAAACCCTTTGGCGAGAAGGCTCAACAAAGAAGCCAGGAAAAGAAGACTGAGGAAGTGCCATCCACAGGACCTCCCTGCGAGGTTCCTATAGAATAATGCTTTATAAAAAATTGAATGTGATTTAATTAACTATTTGTTACTGATATTTATGTAAATTGTTATTGTTGTTGATGTTTATGTTAATTGTTATTGTAAATTCTGTAGTGTCCTACTGTAAATAATCGTGCCTTTATGTCCAACTCGTTAAGCTGCCAACTAGGTAGTAGAAAGCCTGTTTAAATAAAATAATACATATTTTTACCAAAAAAAAAAAAAAAAAAAGAAGTTGGTTTTGTTGGATTTGCAGTTTGTGTGTGAATCAGTTAAAGCCCTTACCACTTTAATATCGATTTGGTTTGCTATTCCGCCTTTGGGCGGCTTGAAAAAGTGCAAGGAAATCGAAAGGATGCCATTAAATTGATTGAAGTTTTATTTGTTTGGCGAATTGAAGCGGATTTGCTAGATATCTCATTCGGACTCTTTAGCGCCCACCCTGCAGGATAAAGTTTACGGACTATGCACATGCACACATAAATATTTAATCACGGTTTATCCCTGCAGTCGTATTTGGCGCATTCGGCCGTTGTTCGCTGTGTACGTACATATGTATGTATATGCGGCGCGTACCGATAAACTGATAAGAGCGCCGTGTGCAGCACGGCCCAAAGCATTGGGCGAGCCAATCGTGTGGCGCAAAATTTGTGTGTGCAATGCCAACAACTGATAGGCGCGAAACGTTACGCATTTTGCGCACGAACTGCTGATAACACCGGCCCCTGCGCCGCTCTACCAGTCTGTTGTTCGATTTTGCACCCGTCATTGAGCTTAAAATTACAATATATATACGACGGGAGTTTAGTGTAGCCAACAACAGTTGCCTACAGCAAGTGAAAAGCTTTACATCAATTAAACATTTTTCACAACCAACAGAAATTTACTAAAATCACCAATACAATGGGTTGCAAGAATTGTGTATCTGGTAAGTAATATACAAAGATATTAAACCAAAAACTTACTGTTAACTAACTAAACTTGACCATTTCAGCTTGCCAGTGCTCGACCACAAAGTGCGGCGGCAACTGCGCCTGCATTAAGGACTGCAGCTGCGTGTGCAAGTCTGGACCCAAGGAGCAGTGCTGCAGCAGCAAATAATCAAGATTATACGGAATTCTGCATAAAGTTTTCAAATGCCATTTGGCGTAAACATTTGCGTGTGATTCAATAAAAATGATAAGAGCATAAAGTTTGAATTTTGTTTCTCTAATGCGGCCAGCTTTAATATTTAAATAGGTCATGAAAATGCAGCTTAGCAAAAACTTTATTTGAATTATAATTTGTTTTCCAGTTTTGAGCGCAAGTCAATATAGTCGTGTTTCTGTCTGACTGCAATTCTTGCAGTTGACAAACAACAACTAACAAATATATAAATAAATAAGCTGCAACATTTTTTCTCCATTTAGATTGAGAGAAAATTGCAAATCTCCGCATGAACGAGGCTTTGCTCTATGGCTAAATAATAAAGTGACACATTTTATGAGAAGCTTGACATTTTTGGGGTAATAAAGCAATGCTAGAAAGGCAATTTAACTGCTGTCGCATATACATATATATGCGTATAAATTTATAAATGTATATATTTGTATGATTACTCATCAAATTTGATGGTTTATTTGCTCTTAACTGCTTTTGCATTTGCTCATTTATTTCCCTGTCGCATTTGTCAGAGTTAAATGAGAAATGACGAGGGAGCACTTGTAGAGACTGTGGCAGCTGAAGGACAACTCAGACATTCGCATCCGCTTCAACTCGCTCTATGCGCTGTCAAAATATTTATGAACTGACCAGCGGTAACAACAACAATGGTATGCAAAAACAACATCAACATCAACAACAGAAACAACAACAATAACCATCATTAGCATAATCAAAATGTGCGTGCCTTGTATTTGGCACTTTGCTCGGTTGCGTGTCGAGAGCATTTTGCTCGACATTTTGTTTCTGAGCTGCTCCTCTGGGGATGGGGGAGGGGATCTGATATTGGATCTGGCGTTGTTTGGTAAATCAGGTGTAAATGATTTGGCATTCAGGTGCTTGAGCTGAGCACAGGCTAATCGAATTATTGCGTGCCTTGAGTTCTCATTCAAAACCTAGAGTTACAATATTAAATTTAGTACAGGCTGAGCCGTAAATGATTGTTAATAAAGTGAAAATATGACTGTTTTAACGATGACTTCGCTAAATACAATTGAGGAAGGAGATGCCAGCAATGAGAAATCAGAGCCCTCACATGCAAGTAAGTCTCAAGTAGTTGCCCATCCATTGACACGTGCCGCCTGATTTCTATTCTCTTCCCAGAAGATCGCGCTAATGGAGTCTCGGTGCGTTCCCTTATCAAGGGTGCCATAGTCATATTTACGTTCAACGCGTGTCTACTGTGCCTGGGCTATCTCATTTACGAATATATCAGCGCCTTGGATGACAACAAGAGAACGAAGGTGGGCAATTGGATGTGTAGTCTGGTTGGTGTTGTGCTTATGATCGTGATGCATCGAATGGGGGTAACTTGCCTATATGATATATTTACAAATTTGTGATTTACAATGAACTTTTATCGACAGGACATGTCTAAGGGCAATCCACATTTTTACTACATTTAGTTCATATCATTTTCAAGTACAAAATGGATAGATATAAATTCTAGTACAATTTAATCTCGCAGGCTGTAAAAATTTATTAAGTAAAACAAAACAAAGAAATTAACTAAGTTTATTAAAATTAGTATAAGTTGTAAGCCAGTACAAATAGATTAATAAAGTATTTTGAAGTAGGGTATATTATACATATATATGAATATAAAATTGAATATTTTATTCGATTTGTGTTTTAATCAGTGTCTTGGACTAGAATTGGTTAAAAGTATAATAATATTTTGATTTATCAAGTAGGATAAATCGAGGTGAATATTATTTGTATTATATGATCACACTAACATATGAATCCAATATAAGTCGAGGTGGATATTATTTGTATTATATGATCATATTAACATATAAATCCAATATACATTTGCATCCAATATTTGGTATTAGAATCTCTAGTCTAATTCTAAGAAAATATTCTCAAATGATATAACTTAGGAAGCTCACACTCTTATATTAGTTTACTTAGCTAACTTATTTATTTTAGTAAAGCCATGCGACATATGTCAGCACACTCTCTAAATACATATTGATATGTATACGTGAACTCTCCCTACAGTACATCTTCTATTCGTATACCTTAGCTTAAGGCAACTCAACCTGTTAGACGTGGCTGCGTCAACTGGTTGGAGTCACGCAAATGAGTCTCTGGACGCATTGACAAAACAATGGGGTAATTTTTCATTGCGTCGATGACGTCAGCTAGCCTTGCGATTTGCGTCATTTGTGTATTGCAGTATAAATTATTTTCCATTTCGTCCAATTACTGTAGCTACAAATATTTGTAATTTATTTAATTAATAATATTTGTTGCGACAAATACCTATGATGTAAGATATATACATTTTATTAGGCCAAAATCCGTACTAAGTACGCTAAATTCATCATGTCATATAACGAGAAACGCGTTTCCCGTTGGTATTTCGGTGGTCTGGCCAGCACATTAGGAACGATAGTCACACATCCGTTAGACGTGGTAAAGGTGCAGATGCAGACGCAGAAGAGGATAAGAAAACAGAAACTATCGACAGTCGGCTTCATGCACATTTTAGTCAAACAGCACGGCATATACTCTCTCTTCAAGGGCATATCTGCTTCGCTGATGCGTCAGTACACCTATACCATGGCACGCTTTGGCATATATGCTGCAGGCACCAGCGTCGTGGACACCCACTCGATGACGAGCAAAGTGCTGCTGTCCGCTTTCAGCGGGGGCGCAGGTGGACTCATCGGCGCGCCGGCAGACTTGCTGAACGTGCGCTTGCAGAACGATGTCAAGCTGCCGCTAGAGAACAGAAGAAAGTAAGCAACTGCATAAGCGCTGATCGAATGGGCCTAGTCGTAACATTTTCATTGTAAATTTCAGCTACAGGAACGTTTTTGATGGTCTGGTGCGCGTCTGCCAGGAGGAGGGCTGCTTCAGTCTGTTTAATGGCGCATCCTTTGCTGCGCTGCGAGGCGCTTTTATGACCGTTGGACAAATTGCTTTCTATGAACAGACTAAGGACATTCTACTATCCGCAGGCTTTCCAGAGCGCGCCGATACGTACGTCTTCTCGTCGATCGTATCGGCCATTGCAGCAACGCTTCTTACCCAACCCATTGACGTGGCCAAAACGCGTTCGATGAATGCGGCTCCTGGAGTGTATAGAAACCTTACAGATGTATTTTACAAAACAGCCTTAGAGGGGCCCATGGCGTTCTACAAGGGCTCGATACCAGCCCTTCTACGGCTAGTGCCGCACACAGTATTGCTTTTCGTAAGTCTCGAGTTTTTACGCTCATACTTTGGATATTTACCGAAGGAAAAGTCGGCTTGAACCTAATCTGACCTAGTATAACCTTTCTAACTTTAACTAAACTTCTTGTATATTCATAAAATAAAAATTTGTTTTTATTTTTTTACTCATTGGAAAATTGGGAACTGTTTCATCTATGCCAGTCTCTTAATATGCATGAGTATGTGAAATTTTGTTGAAAAGTCTTTACGCTCATTCCGTTAGGCAGATGAGTTTAAAAAAAAAAATAATCATACGCCCCGTGTATCAGCGATTTTATTGCAGCTAACTTTTTTGAGTTTAACGGGTTTATTTTATGAGTTTTTCTAATTGTCTTTTGTGACAAGTGTTGAATCAGTTAATGGGCAGGCGATAATTGCTTCATTGCTTTTAAAAATAAACAAATTTTACACAATTTTTAATGAGTCAAATGGAAACAATTAAAATATTATATGTAAAAAAATTGATAAATTATAAATAATGTCAGCCGTCGCAAATTGAATTGAAATTAATTAATATGTGCACGCGTCGCGCTGTAAATTATTACAAATAACAGCCATTAGGATGCGCAGAAAAAGCGTATGCAAATTTGTCATGTGCCACTGCAGTCAATATCTGTATATACATATATATATTTATGGATTATTTGTAGCATTATGGGCCATCGTTTCTATAAGCAGCCATTAATATGCGATGTTTGCGGCATAAATCGAAGGATTTCGGGCTGCTTGACTTAATTGTACGCATCGCCGCTGCAGGGGCGTTGACAATGATAAAGGACACAAGACAAGGGATAAAGGACAATGGCTTGTCCGCATAATTATTTACGCAACGGTCAAGGACAAACAAATGCGCACGCACTCTCACACACACATATACACACTCAAGCGGCTGCCACATTGCCAGTGAAAATGAGTTAAATATTTATGGCAAAATTGAGCCTTCAGCTCGACAAACATGGCTGAAGGAGCTGGAAGTGGGTGCGATTGCTGGCGATTTAAATGCAGCCCAATAAATTGAAGCACATTTTTAACTGGCGCTTTTATGTCGAGGCGCTCGTTTTGCCATCCAACATTATACGCTTTATGCACGGAAGCCCATTTATATTGGCCAGGAAGCGAGACAATAAAGTGGCCGACAGAAGACCCTGGTTGCAGATCCCAGTACCCAGCTCCCAGCTCCCATTTGCCAGTGCCCAGTCCACAATTCGCAGTACGCCGTTCGCCCGTTTGCAGTTCACAGTTCACAGTTGGCACAACGTTTAAATACCTTCATGTCCGGCGCCATTTCCCTTGCCGGGCTGAGCATGGGCAATGCAATAAACTTCTAAATCAGTCGATTAAGCTGCGAGTTGAGAGTTGCGAACAATGCGAATACTCCTAAAAGCATGCTTCATGTACACACACACACACGCACACACCCACACAGACGAAACAAGAGTTGTGAAAAATGTTGAGCAATTAAAATAAGTAGCGAGCACATCACTTGGGGGCCACAGGCAAATGGAAAAGAGCAGAAGTCCTGCCTTCGTGTGGATTTTGCTGTCAGCAAAGTGCAGCGCGCGCTTCTCTAATGAAAATGAAGACGAACAAGATTGCAAACAGCGCTCTTGGCGGGTGTGCGCGACTAAGAGATAAGAGATAAGAGCTTAAAGAGTCCATCTACAAGTAAATACATATACGTATAGCCAAAACGGAAAAGCATTATAATGAAAGTGTGCAGATACAAAATATCTATGGTCTGCATTGCGAGTGAATAGTTTGAATGACTATGATGTAGACTGGGACATACCCTGTAGTGTCTCTAAGCTCAGATACTGATCGTTTAATATGGCAATGTAAAGTGTTGAAGGGAGCTTCTTAGTTGATAATCATATTTAATGATATTGATCGATAATAACAATACTAGTACTTACAGGGAAAATGTTTTTTGTTGTTTTTGTTTTGTGCTACTATTTTCTATAACTTCTGCGGTCTTTAATATACTGAGGATCAATATAAAAATTGAGAACAAACGAAATTAATTCTAATACAGGCTCAATTTTCAATGAATTTTCGAGAACTTTTTTCAAAGGGATTTAGCGAGGTATCGAGACTCGACTGTAGTATGATACGATGATAAATTGATCTAATATTGGCGCTCAGTACACATCAATTAACTGACATCAATTTAATTACAAGAGTTTTCGCAGCTATGCGTTAAGTGATGCGATATATCAACATCGCATATATTCAACAATCTATTGCAAAGGCAAACGTCAATCTACGATTATAGCAGACCTATTGAGTACTTTACCCACTCTGCCTGAATCGCTTTAGTAGTTTCGGCTCATTTCACCGATTGAGCAGCTTTTCTATTGGTATTCAGCTTGGCATTGATTTAGTGTAAACACTTTTCAATGCCCCAGCTTCTCTTTCGGCTGCTGCCGGCAATACATTTAGGGCAATTGCTCGCACATTTAAATGCCGAACACACCGATAGGCGAGCGCACACCCACATGTGCGGGCGAGCATAACAGTTTATCTTTATAATTAGATCTTGGCAACTGTATCTCTCGGCCGACATGCCGTTGATGGGAAAGCGCCGCTAAGTGGCTCGAAAGTAGTTTACAATGCCAAGCTTCAGTCATCGCTGGCGGCACCTCAGCTCGCCAAATGGCAACACGTACTGCATAGCACCAATCCTGAATCCTGAATCCGAAATCCAAAATCCAAAATCTAAAACCGAAGCCCAGCCGCGACTAGTCGACTGGCTGACTGGCTGAGTGCCTAACTGCCCGCCCGTCTGCCTGCCCGACTGGCGGATTGTCAGACAAGCGAAACTTGGCTCATTAAAGATTAAGGCACATTAGCGCCAATGGTGTGAGATGAAGGTAGAGGGGGGGATGAGGGTCGGACTGTGGCAGATTTCAGCACCATCAGCATAAATATTTATGTAAATTGGGATTAAAAGTATTTTGTATGTAGTTTACAGTGAAAACTTTGGCAATGAACCATTGGTGAGTGTCCGTGCATCTATTTCAGGAGTTGCGTACATTTTAAATTGCCATTTAATTACTTGAAATCTGAAACGGCAATTGCTTTAAGCCGGCTGTGGCTGACCTTGTGCCCGGCCCGAGTCGCAGCTGCCGTGAAGCGTGAATTTAGCTGCATATTTTAACCGAAAAAGGTTTGCATTGCTATCTCAGCTGCAGCTGCGACTTCTCCTGCTTCTGCCTCTGCTGCTGCTGCTGCTGTCGCTGCTTTGTTTCGACGTGATATTTTGCATTTTGCTGCACTCAAGGCTGGCCAAGAGAAAATATGGTCGAAATAAATGGATGCCACTGTTGGAGGCGGCAGTAATTTATGTTGCCCCGCACAAAGGGAAGCCATAAACTTATGAAAGCCCGACGAATAGATTTCGCGTTAAGGTATGCCGAAAATGCGAATGCGAATGCGGCCAAGGTTATTAAACACAAGCTGAAGGATATTGTAAAGGATATTGCATAAGGGGGCTAGCTGTCGCTCTCTGCTGCTCTGAGCTCCGAGCTAACACTGCCTGAATTGGCAACAATTTATGCGAGTTTTCAATACAATTATCAGAGAACTCATTAATATGCATTGAAATTTGAAATCTGCTTGCTATTGTTGCTGGCCAAACTTTGGATGTTGCTTTGATGCTTCGGAAATGTTTATTGGCCGCATTGTTGCTTAATGAAATTAGTCGCATTTATGCGCAATTTCCGGCCCATACTCCCACACACCCACACACACACACACACACACACACACACACACACACATAAAGTCTAGAATGCGTACAATTTTGGATGCTGCTTGCTGTTCAAATTTCATTACTTTGTGTAAACAAGGACACGTGCCCATTGTCACAGCAACTGCTGCTCCGTCTCCTGCTCTCTGCGCTCTGTTCTTAGTGCAGCCACAAGACTTGCGGCATTGACGCATGCGCGGATAACATTTAAAGAGCGTGTTAACAGTCCGTTATGCTTTAGCCGTTTTTGAAACTATGAAATATGGCAGTAAATCATTTTCATGCTCGTGTGTTTCATTCAATTATCAAAAATAATTTAAAATAATTTCACAGACACACACAAAACATTTGTGGCGGCTATACGGTAAGCATTACGTGTAAGCATTTCGATGGCTCGCTTGCTGGTCACGTCGTAATCAGCAAAAGGTTCGCCTAGTTGCGGTTATAAAGCCCTGTACGTGATCCGCATCTCGAAAGCGAAAACGTTCGCATAAATACAAATTTCTAATTTATGTAGTTTACGTTTTGGATTTATGGCCATTTGTATATGATTTTGGCTCCCAATGTACATGCTTATAAAAACTAAACACACACACACAAATATATATACATATATGTGTTATATATGCATTTATGTGTGTATCGATGGCTCTATTAAGCCTTTCAGTTTGAGTGGCGACGCGTGTGTGTGTGTGTGCGCGCTGCTTATGGATTCAAGAGATCAACGCTGCGTATGAGTAATGCGCTTTTAATGCGTGCGCTAATTTAGCACCTCAAAAGTGGTCTTCATTTGAGTGCAGCGTGCACAGAGCTCACCGGCTTGTCGACTTGATGGGCACTTAGTCGCTCAGCTGGGAGTGCATTCGCCACACGAATTATTCATTTGTGAGCCATTTATGGGCCGGTCGCCTTTCTGCTGTGTACGGCGTACGGCTTTTAATTAATCTATTAAGCACATTAGGTTTATTGGGCTCCTCGGACCTTGACACTTTCGCATACGCGACACACGCCGAGCACGCTGATTATGCGATTTTTGTGTGAACGCCCAGTGGGCGTGGCGGCCCGTCAAAGGCCAATCTCATAATCAGCATAATTTTCATGTTCCTCCAAGCAAAGGCAACGCACCCTCACCCCACGCACGCAGACACACACACGCCTCAGATACAAAGTGTGCGACTGAGATTTTCGTGTCGAGGCCGAGACACTCAGACAAAAGCCAGCATGTCCAAGACAAGATCTGGCCGGGGATGGCTGCTTGCCGCTGGTTAGCCAAAAACATCAGATCGAGATTATGCGCCAAGATAATTATTTGGCTCTGGCGTTGGCTCT